TGTGTACATCAACAACACTTTTACAAACGATATACAAGGCTTTCTGACTTCCGATTTCCAAGCACAAAGGAGAATACCTATAGAAATAATCTTATGATATCTCAGTGTCTGTTAGGGCCATATATCAACGTTTATAACTCGCAATATATGCAAGAAGGATCCGTTGGTATGCCAACCTACAAACTATATTAAAGTCAAATCAATAATACCATACCGGTTGGTGCCTCGCAATGCAGCCCTCTTCTCACAGTATTGCAGTACAAAGACCAGGAAGATCAGAGCAGCCACCCATGTGCCACACAGATTCAACATCTTTAATTAAACGAGTGCCATTATAGATGGAATGCAAGCTGTTGACTATATAGTCAACTACAAATACATAAATCATGAATCAGCTGATACCAGAGCGATAGATATTTATTTACATGTGACATACAGTAACAACGCACAGTCATTTACGCTGTGGCTTCGCCTTTAATTAAAATTTTTTTTTTGGTTTTATAAACGCACAACTTGATGTAATTTCTAATTTGCTGCACAAAAAGTCAAAAAGTCAAAAAGCAGATGAGATCTATCGCTTTTAAAAAAATAGGAATTTAGGATCTAAGGGACAAAATGCCAAAAACGATATATTTTAACGTTTTCGAGTGTAAGCAGTTTGTATTTGCGTTAAAACGTATAAAATTCAATCATCTCTATTTGCGTAGACTAAAAACGTTTATTGCATAGGTACAAAACGTGAGAGTGGCTGGGACTTAAGCAGCTGAGTGATGAGAGCCGAGTCCTGAGGGCTGAGACTGAGAGAGTCTGAGACTGAGAGCGGTCACAAATCCATACAGTCAGACCTGGCGATTCGTCACCTGGTTGACTAGTCGGTCGGTACTAGTCCGGTAAATTTCAGACATGGGCCATAATTTTTCCCTTATGTTTCAAATTAATTTTGATAAGCTAAGCAGTGCTGTTTGAATCTCGCTATACTATCAGAGTAATTTAAAGTGCATGTGTATGTCTCCGTACTTGGAGTGACAGGGACATGGGGTCTCAATATATACAGACTCATATAATCATTCATATATACACTCGATTACAATAGGCCTAAGCGCACAATCAGGCAATCAACCATGAAGATAACAATAGCTCAATCTAAAACGTGTCGATCTCTCGCTGACACAGAAGCGCGAGATCCGTGCTGAGGTAGTTGGGCTCGGTTGGAATCTAAACAAAAGCGTAACTGATATATGAAATTTCCAGTTTTCAAAAGCAGCTTACTTAAGCTTGCAACATTATACACTGCTGTTGAAATAATGACAAACTTCTTTCCTAGAGAAAACCTCGCAAGGAAGGCGATGATACAATCAAGGATTTTGAGACATGCTATGAAATATAAACAATAAGTATACAGACGCTATGGGATGATTTACAGTCAAACTAAGCCATGACCTCTCGACCAATCATAGATCAAGAGACTAGTCTTCTGGATACTAGTCCGGAAATTAGGTCGGAACGGAATTGGTCTAATAACGAGGTCTGCCTGTACGTTGGATCAATACAGTTCAACAGCTGACATTGTCAGATGTTGAACGGGTCTTCGCACAGCGGACTTTGCCTCTTATTAGATGCTAGTAGTCGTCTGTTTTGCATAGCCAATCATTTTAGAAACAATTATTCAAAAACCCACAGCGGTCCCGTCTCCATAAAATGGAACCCCTATGGATGAGGCCCAAAAGGGATGAGACGGCTGCCCAATTGGGCGAAAAATAGGGTAGGATAGACTTTAAATAGAGGTAGTAGGCAACTCTAGGCATGGCCAACAAAACAAAAAGTACTTTATGTAATGAATATGTATGGAGCGTGGTTAACACCAAAAAATAAAATAGCTATGAGACATGCAAGAGCTCAAAAAGGTTTGTAAATAGGTAGTAAATACACGAGCGGATATTGATGCCACTTTCCACTGTTTCCAGGCCCGCTACATACGTTAAACCGGTTTTATATTTATTTATAAACAACAACTAGAGAGTAGAGATATTTTTAAATACATTTTTATGTTCAACTTTAATTTTTTCAAACGACACGCGAGAAAGGGCCCCTTTAAAATGCAGACAAAGGCCTGCTGCGGCCAGCGTTGTATAGTTTGGTAAAGTTGGCTACCAAATAACCACTTACGAGTGTATCTGTAAAGAGATAGACCTCTGCGTGTAACTGTGCACAGCTATGTATGCAATAAAATCACTCGTATCACTGGATCGGATCGGTAACATTGTTCCTAGTTACCTATATGTATGAATATTCAATGGTACGTGTGTATATGCACATAGACACAACTTCCGTCGGTATACGCATGAGTTAGATAATGACTGAAGCTGTTTTCACTAGGGACATAGTCACAGGAACCGGTCAAGAAGCAGTGTTGGTTACAGAGCGCATCAGCAGTGGATCACGCAGGTACACCATAAGCACTAGGCTCAGATATGGCACGTTTACAACATCAGTGTTCACGCTCCTTGTATGTTCACTCTTGAGCTTTATAATTAGTATAAAGTATGAATATGTCTTGGGGTCATCGGACGACGATGTGGCACACACATGGATATGGGGGATAATCTTTCTTATATCGGCCCTATTTGCGACGTTGGTATTGGCCTCTCACCGGAATCAATCGCATACACTGTACGTCTGCCGTGGTATTGGCGTGCAGCTGAGCACAACCAAAGGTACGCACAAAGGTCAAGGAATAAATATTAGATACGCCACCTTTGTGTGCACGCGGATGCGGTATATATGTGTTGTATTTTACCCAAAGCTTATTGATTTTCACTGTATATGCATGTACTACACACACATAAACATTCATATACGTACACCACACACAGACAATATATATATATATATTATACAACTCACACATAATCATTCATATACGTACACCACACACAGACA